GGGGCGTCGCCCGGTGTGTTTCTTGCATGTATTCACTCTGTAATAATATTGTAAGGGATTTATTTATTTTAACAATTCTAAAGATTATATTCACTTACTTATTCTCATAATATTCAAGTTGATAAGGGCGTTAAACCTATACCATTTCACCTTTAAAAAAATTTTTTCACCATAATATTCAACCTGTACTATTGCAACAGATCTATTTATTCTAACAATTTTTAAAGTTGTATTCACTTACTTACTAACTTCACTTTTTCTTCCGCTTGTACCGGTGAGTGTCATCATTTCCAACCTGTAATATTGCAAGGGATCTATTAACTATTGTTATAGTTGTTCCTGATTTCTCTTGCTTATTCTTAGAGTCAACCTGTAATAAAATGAGTGATTTATTTATTCTAACAATTCTCACCCCTGTTTTCATTTACTTTTACTCAGATTTAACCTGGACAGCGCCATTTTGAGATAGCGAGGGGGGCGTCGCCCGGTGTGTTTCTCGCACGTTATTCACTCTGTAATATTGTAAGAGATTTATTTATCATAATAGTTGTTCCTATATTCACTTATTTATTCTAAGATTTAACCTGCAATATTGTGAAGGATAATTTATTTATTCTGACAATTTTCCTGTACCGTATTCATAATTAAAATTTTTTCTCAAATTATATCAACCATTAACAGTAAGGGATTTATTTATCCTAATAGTTGTTCCTATACTTATTCGAAGATTTTACCTGTGATATTGTAAAGGATAATTTATTTATTCTGATAATTTTCCTGTACCGGTATTCGTTTATTATAATTTATTCTCATATTATATCAACCTTTAATACTGTAAGGGATTTATTTATTCTAATAGCTGTTCCGGTGTTCACCTCTTCATCATCCGGTGCCTGGCCGACTGGCGTGGGCGATCATGGACCTCCACTTCACTCTGTCTTGCGTTGCAGCAATGGTATCTGTTGTTCTTGCTGCTCCTAGCCATGTTGTCATCTTGTCTACTATCGTTTCCCTCTGACTGCTTCTGCCTACTTATTCTCATATTCACTCTGTTATATTGTAAGGGATCTATTTATTCTAGCAATCTTTAAAATTGTTTTCATTAACTTATTCTTAGAGTCAACCTGTAATATTAAGAGTGATTTATTTATTCTAACAATCTTTTTACCCTGTTTTCTCTTTTACTCAGATTTAACCTGGGCCGTGGCATTGTGAGGTAGCGAGGGGGCATCGTCCATTGTGTTTCTTGCATGTTATTCATTCTGTAGTATTGTAAGAGATTTATCTATTCTAACAATTTTCACCCCTACTGACTGAAGTGTCTCTAAGCCATTCCCAAAGGGTGGACATTAACCTGTTCTTATGCACAATAGAATTGTGAATGGGCTGATTCATCGATGTCATGCTCATAACTGTGCCTGAACTGCACGAGGGAACTGTTGCTTTTTCTTTCCTGATCCTTACTATGTTCATTTTTCCTCTACTTTTTTGTATGTTTGTCACACTCTTGTGACCTGCTATTTCCAGGGTGCCTTGATAGTCAAAGCAGACTTTGTGCTGTTTAAACAAGACAGGACGTGAGCAGAGTAAGTCTGATTCACTGTAAAGACTTCTTTGTTGAAATCCACCCCTTGGCGCTCATATGACCTTATGCAGTTGCGAGCGCCGTAAAACCTCTACGAAAACAAAACTAACAATTTTTTCTCTCCTGTATTCTTTTACTTATTTTCAGATTCAATCGGTAATATTGTAAAGGATTAATCTATTCTAGCAATTTTTTTCTGTGTTCATTACTCTTATTGTCATATATCAACCTGTTTTATAATTATTGTTTTTAAGGGATTTATTTATTCTAACAAAGTAGGGCATAGCTGGGTCGGGGTGAAGTACGGTGTGACTTTATGTCACTGAGGCGTTACGCTAGCCGTGAAGGCCGACCCGGGTCATCCTGAAACGTCGCTGGCTAAAGGGGCTCTGGTGAAACCGTGACTGGCCTAGTAAGCCGACGGCGGATAATTACTGCTACGAAACAATCATAGGAGAAAACACGGACAGATTCAAACGGAAAACGAAGTAAAAAATGCATCTCCCCTCGACGTTTAACGGCAACAGAGGATGAAAGAGTAAGTAAGTAAGTATTTATTCTAATTTCTAATAGTCTTTCCTGTCTTCTCTTACTTATTCTAAGACCCAACCTGTAATATTATAAAGAATTTATGTATTCTAAAATGTTTCCTGTATTTACTAACTTATTCTCATGTATCAAACTGTAATATTGTAAGGAGTCTATTTAGTACTTACTGGATTATTCTCAGATTCAGTAATTGATTTATTAGTCTGGTAAAAGATTAATTCATTCAATTATATCCTTCATTCACATACCTATTCTCAGATTCAATCGGTTGTTCCATTCTGTATTCTCAACATGTATATTCCTACAAGATATTCCTGCATTCTTTTACATTTTAAAGGATAATTTCTTAATATTTTGAAGCAGTATTTGCTTGAAATAATATTATTCCTGGATTACTAATTTGTTCTCAGATTAACCTGCAAGACTTTAAATGTGTACATTTTTTTGCATGTGTCCACTTACCCATCCTAGTTTCCTGACTTTCATTTAATCACTTTTGACAATTTATATTTATTTATGTCATACGTTATGAATTAATTGTAATTTTTTAAAAATTCACAGTAGTATCTTTTACGGCAAAAATAGTTAATCTTGTCATTGTCCAGTTAATTTAAATAATATTAATTAATTGATTGACTAATTAACTCCGTAATTATTTAGAGTCTGGTTGATATATTTGTTCGGTTAGTAACCTCTGTCTTGAACATCTAGCTCTCACTGGCAAAACTGAAGGCAAACGAAGCAGGGGTAGGCCCAGAGAAACCTACTTAGGGAACCTAAACAAATGGATAACAGGGAAAGATCAGGGAAATGTAGCTTTTTTTAAGGGCATCCGAGCAAAAGGAATGAATAGAGAACCATTATCGCCGATGTCTGTCTCAGATCTGGCCCTGGGTGATGATGAGTAACCTCTGTTTCTGCTTGAATTTTTTTTCTCCAATTAAGCAATATTATTAGGCTCTATATCTATTCACTTAGCTAGATGACTGTTATCGTTATGTTTTTTTCCTTCCTTTTTTCCTTTCTTTTTCTTTTTTTTTCTTTTTTACT